GTTTTTTTGTCTTTGTTCCAGAAGTATTTTTCCCATTCATTTTTCCCATAGGGATTAAAAAAAAAAGTATTCTTTCAAGGGTTATAAGCCATGAACCAAACCATCCAGCTACATGGTCAATCACAACACCACAAATTTTTATTTGAAACAAAAAAAAAAAATTATATATCTGGAGATTTCTTTGCAGAATCATGGGAAATGTAGTTTTTCTACCAGGAATTCTGATGTTAAACACTATTATTTAAAAAAGTATTTAATAATGTGGGCTGATAGTCTAAAAAAAGAGCATATATATATAATTAACAACCTCGTAGCTCACAGTATGTCTGTATTTAATGATTTATAAATTGTTCTAAATCAGTAAAAGTGTGATTTGTAGACCTGGAAAAGTCATAAATTAATACAATCTTAAAACTCCATCGGCATTTTATAATATACAATATCAATATACATTTTTCTAGATATGCCCAGCTTTAAATTACTTTATTTGGAAAAAATTGCAAGCAAAAAATATTTGAAAAATTATTTTCCTTAATCCTTATCCAGTAAATCTTAAACAACTGGAAAAATCATAGGGCCTTTGATTATTGTTGTACACAGTGGAAGTCAAAAATGTTGAAAACCACTGCTCTAATTGACAACAAATGCAATTTAAATATGAAAACTGAGTGTGCAAAAAAATGCTAAAATGAGTATGCACAATTATACAATATTGGCAAATATTCTATATTGTACCAGATAATAAATTAAACACGAGACCTTTAAAGTCGCAAATGCATTTGACTTAACAACATGCTTTTGAATGCAACAAATGTTCAATAAAATAATTAAATGGTTGATAAAAAGTTTATACGGCAGGTGTTTGGAAGAGAGACGGTGTAAAATAAGAGATCCTGGTAAAGTCAGCGGAAAAGGAAAGTGGAGAAAGCTATTTTGAAAACAAGCTCTTTTCTTTTGAACAAGTTGATCAATGTACTATAAGTCCACGAATGTGTCTTAAATGTCTCAATTTCATGTCTAATATCTTGTTTTCTGACGTCTTGATCAAAATCCTGTCAACAGGGGGCAGACTACAGCGGTGACGGTCAATCTGTGGCACTGAAAGACCCAACAGCTTGTCAACTGTTTCCACTGTCAGCCACTGCCAAGTTGAGGGCACTTTGGTATTCACTATCTACAGGGCACTAGTGTGAGAGTACGTGAAAATCAGAGCTGCAGAAAGGAAAGCTAAACGGTGTTAGTGTGGGTCTGGAGCTGGCGGAGGGCTGTGGCGGTCTGGCCAAGAGGGCACGGCTCTGCTGGGCCGGGCAGAGGAGAGCGGCTTGCTGTTGGCAGTGGAGCCTGTGTTCAAGTCGGGAGGAGGATTTCACTCAGCCAAACATGATTCTCAATCCTTCACATCTGAGATAAATTACTAGGCAAACAGCCCCTGGGTACAAGAGTAACCAACAAACCAAACAACCTCCTGAGTCCTGTGTGTGTGTGCTGCTCTCTCCTTTCCAGTGGGAGGTTCTGAGTCTTTGAGGAGTCTTTTCAAAAAAGGAGGAAAGAAAAAAAGGACAGAAAAAGAAAAGAAGGAAAAAAGGAGAATGCACGGCATGCTGGGATAGCTGAGGCTTGTTTGTCACTGAGGCAGGAAGCGGATGTAAGAGTGGGCAGAACATGACATCAGCATTTAGAGGGACACACACACACACACACACACACACACACAAGCAAAGACACAGAAAGCTTAGGTAGACTCTTAGTATTTTTTAGTATTACAGCAGCTACACACACACACACACACACAGAAATACAGATACAGATACAAATACAAATATAACAAACATACATAACATAATAGCATAATTACTGAAATTTAATGACCTCTAATTTTAAACTACATTCACTAGAAAAGCAAAAATGAAAAACAAACAAAAATATCTACAGATTAAGAAATATCCAATAGATTCTGGAATTATTATTTTCAGTGATTTTCTGATGGGAAAATGAGGCAGATTCGAACCTGCACTGCCAGCATGAGCATCACGGCTCAATGTTTTAATAAAAAGAAATTATAAAAAAAATTGTGAATGACCTCTGTTCTTCAAATCCTATGAAATCAGTTTAATTTGTTGCCAAATTATGTTTATTTAATTAAAATCATGAAATGTATACAATTTAACAACAATTTATTAAAAGTTTAAAAATATATATTTTATATATAATATTATTTTATAATATATTATATTATATATCCAAAATAATAGATATTGAATGGAATCTAATCAAATTGGTAATCGAATCGAATTGCAAGCTTGTGAATGCGAATCGAATCATGAAATTCGTGTCAAAACCCAGCCCTATATAGGCCCTATGAAATATGTTTTATTTATTCTTTACTTCCGCTTTATTTTTTAACAAATTCTGAGTTTTCCACTTGATTTTTTTGGGGGACTTTAATTTGAATTGTTTAAATACATTTTAATGATCAGAAAGAATGTCTAATCAACTGAATTCATAAATGAAATGTTTTGCTCTTCACAGAAATTCTGTTTTGTATTTAAATTTTTTCTAGTAATCAGAAGAAGACATAAGAAATTAACAATTAAATTAATACAAATTAAATCTTATCTTTTTTTGGCATACAAAGTGTTACACAACAAATGTGTACTGTTAAAATTAAAACACGAAAGAAAATATATATATTAGATGCTACTGACATCTCAGTGTCTTTTTTTGTGCATGGGACTCTGGATGTTTAGTGCCTTATGCAACAAATCTCAAAAGTTTGAGAGAAAATGAGTGAGAAAAACAGAGGATCATGGAAATGTACGGCTGTTCCTTACTTCAAGAGCCACAATTCTCCACTGTGTTGTACTGAAAAACTCCCACACAATCGGTGGTTGGTTGTGTACAATATGGATCCCAAGCCACAAAGCTTTCCCATCTGAGGCCTCGTCGCTAGGCTAACTTAAACAACTGGCCTAGCTTATCACATGCTGACACACAGTAAAACAGTGAGGGCTCCGTTGCATTCACACACACACACACACAAAAAAGGTGGTGCAGCAGAATATCAAGCAAACCTGTCTCCTGAATTATTGAACATTCTGGAGTGAACAGAATAACACATTAGCATAGCGACCTTATGGGCTCAATCTGACAAAGCTCAGCGTGCGAGTGTGTTTGTGGGAGGACGTGGGATTGGGAATGAAATAAAGGATGAATACTAACAGCGGATTGTCCTGTTTGTTTAATCCAGCTCTGCTGTTTTGTACAACTGTCAGAATTTGGAGGTCAAATGTAAAATGTTCCACTTTAATTGACTGAGATTGTAAAGGGAGAACATAC